GGGAATCAAATGCAAAATGGGAATTGACACAGTTACTTTATGCTGGTGATATTGTGCTTATGGGAGATTCTAAAGAAAAATTGCAAAGGTTAGTGGACGAGTTTAGGAGTGTGTGTAAAGGTAGAAAGTTGAAAGTGAACATAGAAAAGAGTAAGGTGATGAAGGTATCAAATGATTTAGATAAAGAAAAATTGGATATCAAATTGGGGAGGAGGAGTATGGAAGAAGTGTGTTTTCAGATATTTGGGAGTTGACGTGTCAGCGGATGGATTTATGAAGGATGAGGTTAATCGTAGAATTGATGAAGGAAAAAAGGCAAGTGGTGTGTTGAGGTATATGTGGAGACAAAAAATGTTATCTATGGAGGCAAAGAAGGGAATGTATGAAAGTATAGTAGTACCAACACTCTTATATGGGTGTGAAGCTTGGGTTGTAAATGCTGCAGTGAGGAGGCGGTTGGAGGCAGTGGAGATGTCCTGTCTAAGGGCAATGTGTGGTGTGAATATTATACAGAAAATTCGGAGTGTGGAAATTAGGAGAAGGTGTGGAGTTAATAAAAGTACAGTGGACCCCCGCATAACGATCACCTCCGAATGCGGCCAATTATGTAAGTGTATTTATGTAAGTGCATTTGTACGTGTATGTTTGGGGGTCTGAAATGGACTAATCTACTTCACAATATTCCTTATGGGAACAAATTCGGTCAGTACTGGCACCTGAACATACTTCTGGAGTGAAAAAATATCGTTAACCGGGGGTCCACTGTATTAGTCAGAGAGCTGAAGAGGGGTTGTTGAGGTGGTTTGGTCATTTAGAGAGAATGGATCAAAGTAGAATGACATGGAGAGCATATAAATCTGTAGGGGAAGGAAGGCGGGGTAGGGGTCGTCCTCGAAAAGGTTGGAGGGAGGCGGTAAAGGAGGTTTTGTGGGTGAGGGGCTTGGACTTTCAGCAAGCGTGTTAGATAGGAGTGAATGGAGACGAATGGTATTTGGGACCTGACAAGCTGTTGGAGTGTGAGCAGGTTAATATTTAGTGAAGGGATTCAGGGAAACCGGTTATTTTTATATAGCCGGACTTGAGTCCTGGAAATGGGAAGTACAATGCCTGCACTCTAAAGGAGGGGTTCAGGATATTGGCAGTTTGGAGGGATATGTTGTGTGTGTATATGCTTCTAAACTGTTGTATTCTGAGCACCTCTGCAAAAACAGTGATTATGTGTGAGTGAGGTGAAAGTGTTGAATGATGATGAAAATAATTTCTTTTTGGGGATTTTTTCTTTCTTTTTGGGCCACCCTGCCTCAGTGGGAGACGGCTGACTTGTTAAAAAAAAAAAAAAACTATATCTCAGGAAAATTCATAATAACAAGAATGAAAAATTTCCTACACTCCTGTACATGAAGCTGTAATTATATTCATGGGAAGATGCTGAACTCAGGTATTGTGGTAATTATTTTTGATCTATGAGAGGGAACAATAGCTTCAATTACACTTGGATTGAAAGTCCTTCACTGACATCAAGGCAGCATCTTAAATGTCTTAAGTGATTTTGAACCATATTTCCATGCACCACAATAACAGAGTATACAGTAAAAAGGTTATTTGCAGCTTCTATTTGGACATGTATTCCAGTTTGAACAATATTATATTATACTGTACTGTAGTGTATTTATATGAGCAATAAACCCATGTGGGTCTTTCAGCACAAGTGGTTGAGGCTCAATATTTTGTCCACTAATAACGAGCCAGATATGCTACCCTTGCAGTCAGGCTTTCCCCCATGTAACAATATATTAATAGGGTCCAATGTATTTTTTAATGCATGGAAACATTAGCAGCATGTGACATTCAGATATTTGCTTCCTAAATATTTATATTAACTGCAATATTTTCAGGGCTCCCATCCATATTTAAGAATGTCATTCAACAAAAATACTGCTTTCAATGTAATAAAAAATCACATTCATGTAGTTTCTAAATAAGCTCCTTGGTTGCTATTTTTTGCAACAGTGTGTGCTGGTGATCAAACAGTAACATTATCAGAAGAATTCTGTATCTGGAACAACTTACACCTAATCCACTAACAGGTGAAACTATATGACCTGATAATGACCCACGATGGCCCAAAAACATTGTCTTAGTTTTACATTCAATTTCTAGGTTAGTCATAACATTAAAAAAAAAAAAAAATGATAAATAGCCACACCACAGAAACTGCTAGTGAAAGTTAAATCCTGAGAAAACCTGCAAAGTTCAAAAAACACAGTGATCCCTAGTGTCCTGCCATGAGATACATCACATACCATAATTATGAATGCTGCAAAACACTTGCACAGTACAATAAGATCACAGCCAGCAGTGTATTACTAAGGTAACTTAATTTACACCTAAGCAAATTGTTAAGCAATTCGTTTTTATGTATGCTTTAATAATAAATAAGAATAATGTTATGCGGTACATGGGTTCTATGGAGAAGAACATCCATCAAGTCTACCAGAGGAAGTACCCAAAGAACAAACTGCACGATAGTGTTCTGATTATTCGGAAATAGGACAGGTGTCTCATGACATAGTAGAGCATGGTGAAATAGGTGTGAATACTGACACATGGCTTAGTGTGCCTATGAAGAGGAAATAGATCCATTGGTCTTTGCAATTCCAAATGCACTACCCACACAGTATAGTCTGGTTGCCACAGTTTATATACTTCAGCATGTAGCATCCTTCTGACCCTTTGTGATCAAAAAAGTGTACATCATTCACACTGTTCATTAACATTTTATCCATCCACAGTAAAATTTATTTATTCAACAATAATACTGCACGATCATCCACACTGCTTATAGCTATCACTTCAGGTCATGCACTCACATGGCATTATTTACCGCTTCACTAAGATTTATAACGCTATGCAGGCAACTACATTACTGTTTTTGCTACATCTTTTATTGCCCCTCTTGAATAACAAAATTATTGTAAAAGGACACAAGTGCAACTAATGTGACATTTATTGTGGCAACGTTTCGCTCTCCAGGAGCTTTATCAAGCTCCTGGAGAGCGAAACGTTGCCACAATAAATGTCACATTAGTTGCACTTGTGTCCTTTTACTTTACATATTGTCGGTAATTCTACCAACTTTATTACAACAAAATTATTACTCCCCTCATAACTTGTTTGCCACACTACCTGTTTTTTAGCAGATTAAATCAAAAGGAGATTTTCCTCAGACACAGACTAACGCGGGCAGCTAATCTCTCTCACAAGTATAAACACCGGTGTTAGGAAGACAGCATGTTGCAAAGAACACACATCAACTTGGTTTTGAACAAGACTGTACAAGCCATTGCATTTATTGGTACAAAAAAATATACTAGTTTATGAAAAGATGGTAGAGGAAGAAGAGTCTGTGCTATCTGTAATCACATACAAACAATAAAACAACATAGTTCCCTGTTCATTTCTGCCTCATACTTGTGCAGTGTAGACATCAGCAGTCTCCTGAAGAGGACCTCATTGTGAGGTCAAAATATATAGTACGTACTAAGTTTGCCTCGTTTGTCTCCATGTTCGTGCCATTGACCAGTGATTATTACTTTTGTGTTTGATACACAGTTAAATTCAGATATGAGGAGAAACTTACAGAAATGTGTTAGAGAATATGCTACATCTATTAATGTTGGTGAGCAGAAATTATTTTTTTAGGTTTTAGAGCATGAAGTAGCTGCAGCTGCAGCTGCAGCAGTTATGTCATGTGTCATGTCCAGAGCATCAAATAACAGGATTATTAAAGGGTGAATCGGCCTTTTCCCACTGAGGTAGGATGACCCAAAAATAAAGAAAAAACTTTCATCATTCAACACTTTCACCATAACTCATACATAATCACCGTCTTTGCAGAGGTGCTCAGATACGACAGTTTAGACGTCCCTCCCAACTGACAATATCATAAACCCCTCCTTTAAAGTGCAGGCATTGTACTTCTCATTTCCAGGACTAAAATTCCTACAATTTCTTGCCAATAAGTGGCTTTATTTGAGAAAAGAGTACACAAGTTGAAAATGATTATGAAACAAAGTAATTTGCATGAATTTTTTTGTGAGCATAAGTGCACTGGTTTGAGTTTGAGGTATATATTGAAGTTTTAATGCTCAAAATTGCAAATGCAGTTTTAGTAAAGTAGGGTTTGTTGGTGAAGGGAGATAGGCAAGCATTATAATCTTGTGTTCACTCAGCACAGGGAGTGGTGAAGGCTTGATCTTCTGTTCACTAATCACAAGACAAACTCTACTCTCGCAGCGAGGCTGCTGATCAAAAGGGTAAGTGGATCAAATTTAAGAGCAAGAGGTGCTACAGTAACAAAAGATTTAGATAATTAGAGAAAGGAAATAGGAGACAAAAGCTAACACACCTGTTGAACACAGTGTGGGGAGGGGCTGTGGAAAGGTTTGGAGAATTTTGTGCACTGGGCCTAACACAGAAGCAAGGCAATGTACTGTAGCCATTTTTTGTGTGAACAGTCTTCTAAGTGTATGAATATGCCATCACTTATAAGGGCGAGTCAGGTACAGGATACAATATGTGCCAAGGCAAACACACACACACACACACACACACACACACACACACACACACACACACACACACACACACACACACACACACACGCACACGCACACGCACACGCACACGCACACGCACACACACGCACACGCACACGCACACGCACACGCACACGCACACACACCACACACACACCACACACACACACCACACACATGCATGCACATACAACAGGCCTAGTGTCTAATCGACACGTGCCTAGGACCAAATGGTAACTAACACACGTCACTAAAGTGCTATTGCATTATGACTGTTACACAAATTTTTATTTCATGCTTCTTATCCTTAAATTATTTAAAAAATAGGTGGGAGTGAACCAGATTATCATCTTCAAGGTTTGACAATAATGAGAACACATTTGCTGGCACTTAAAAAGATCATTTGTCATCACTTTATTTTTTGAATATTTGCAAACATGTTATCATTGATGAATAATCAACAGTTTCATGTTAGTTACAAATAAATTGTAATATTTAGGGCCCAACTATAAAAAAAATATACTTGTTTCCACTATGAAGGTGGAAGAAAACTCTACGACAGATATTTACTGCCCATGAAAAACATATCCCATCAAAGTTACTTTAACATTTACATATGAACTTGTGTGAAAGAAGACATGCACAAAAATTTCAAAGAAATGTAAAATCAGACCAACAGCATCTAAGTGTGAAAACAAGTATTTTTTTTTTTTTTACTTTTCTGGCCCCGTAAATGTCAGCACTTTTACACATTTAAAACACACAAGATAACTTTACACAAACATGGATTCCAGGAAAACTGACAATAGGCAGTACAGGTAATTACTAATTAAACTTAAAACCTTACTTATGAAATGTCTTACAAAGTTTCAAAGATTCTAATATTAACTTAAGTTCAGTATAATCTGCAATGACAATTTCTAGAACTCAAGATCACCCTGCAGCTACTTCTTTTAGTTCACCCAGCTGCTAGTGTTAACATTCTCATCTGAGAGAAACAATTTAGTTGTGTTTATTTCTAGTTTCTCAAAATAAAAGAAAAATAGAAGCAAGTCACAGACTTGTCCTACAAAGGAAATATATCACAGTTTATAAAAAAATTAAAATTCCCATATTTACTGGGAAGATTCTGCATGGGCCACCCTAGGTAAGTTGTTTAGAGCACTAAAGAGGCCGAGGAATGCAAATTCCCACATGCTACACTGCAACCATTCATTCCCAGCTTATACTCACTCGTCACCTTTTATGTACACATTCCCCAGGAAGAGAGAACACAATGCCAACGCCAGCAACCAAGACATACAATACCAGGACAGTCCCACTACCTCCTAATCAGCCAGGCTGTGATGGCTATGTGGGTTTGTAGATGACTAACAGTAACAACCTGGTTGACCAGGCCATCAACAAGGAAGCCTTGCCACTGGCTAGGCTGCCAAGGCAGTTGAACCTACTGAATCCAGTCACAGGAATGTCAAGTAGCAGGCAGTTCAGTTCCGGCTGCTATGTGCCTCACAAGTCTATGAATTTAACCTTAAATTTAAAACTAGCTCTTTTATCTCTTAACACAAAAATTGGAAAAATTTCTGTAATTTACTTGAAAGCTAATGCCTAATTTTTTAAAGTTTTTGTTAGCTAGTGACAAAACAGAGAAATAATAGCGAGTGTGTGCTCATTCTCACTTTCTCACTCTCTCATGCACTAACCTCTAATCATGTCTATGAATGGTAATTCTAAATGAAAATAACCACTTGAAATTCATTTAGGCTCATCAAGAATATTCATTTTCAAGAAATGGCAAGTCGTGAAATGCTTACTTACACCAGAGGTAACAGAGTGAAGGAAATGAAACAAGTCCAATATGAACTCGATATATCCCCGAAATTTTAAGAACACAAGCATGACGGATAGACTTAATTAATGACGATGGATGTGATTATGTACATATTGCTGAGCTTACTGCTAGCCCTTTGTGTTAACTTTGGTGAAGCTATCTTGTCACTCGTATCTAACAAATCAATGCACTACACTACCTGCAAGTACAGTTTAAAATAAAGTAAGATTACATGGAAATGCCTGTTATGTAACTAATTTTTATGTAAGTGCATACTGTACATTACTATCATATTTCAAGTCAGATATGAAACAAACTTGCACTGCCAATACAGTTGCCAGGTGGGGTTGACTTGATAATGAAGTGACAACGTATGCACACTTGAAAATGGCGATGTTAGCTACTGTGGGATGAAGTGTTAGGATGATGATGATGAATCTGAATTGTCATCCTTGGTCCTGCACTTGAGGGACTCAAGATACTCCTGCTGACTAGCTGCCAGTACCTGGGCAAGGATGTCAGCCTCAGCATTGGAGTATTCTGTCAGCCCTGAAAAAAAGATGAGTAAGTTAAAAACTATTACAATATATTTTATCAATTAACTTGGACATTCACCCATCAATTTAAGAAGATATTCACATCTTCTGGAAGATTCTAAAGAGAAGTTGAAAAGGTTGGTGGGCAAAAATGGGAGGATATTTAACCCTTAAACGGACCAAAGAGATCGACGTTCAAATTCGTAGTGCTACAAAAGTAGATCTACTTTTTTTACATATTTTCAAATATAACAAAAAAAAATGTAGATAAAAGTTTTTTTTACACGTTTTCAAATGTAAAACAAAAAAGAAGATCTACATTTTTTTACATACTTTCAGATGTTGAAAAAACGTATATATACGTTTGGACCATTTAAGGGTTAAAAGGGAATTGAAAGTGAACACAGGAAAAAAGCAAGGTGATGAGGGTAACAAAAAATTTAGGTTGTGAGAGATTGGATATCAGATTGGAAGGAGGGAGTATGGAGGAAGTGAATATGTTGAGAGATCTGGTGGTAGGTTGGTAGACAGCAACCACCCAGGGAGGCACTACCATCCTGCTAAGCGAGTGTCAAACGGAAACTGTAATTGTTTTACATGATGATAGGACTGCTGGTGTCCTTTTTTCTGTCTCATAAACATGTAAGATTTCAGGTACGTCTTGCTACTTCTACTTACACTTAGGTCACGCAACACATACACATACAAGCATATATATACACACCCCTCTGGGTTTTCTTCTATTTTCTTACTAGTTCTTGTTCTTGTTTATTTCCTCTTACCTCCATGGGGAAGTGGAATAGAATTCTTCCATGCGCGTTGTAAGAGGCGACTAAATTGCCAGGAGCAAGGGGCTAGTAACCCCTTCTCCTGTATATATTACTAAATGTAAAAAACCCCCCCCCACCCTCA